CCATCCTGCCCTGTCCCTGTCCCCATCCTGCCTGTCCCCCTCTTCTCTGTCCCCTTCCCATCCTGTCCCCACCTCTTCTGTCCCCATCCTGCCCTGTCCCCCTCTCATCTGTCGCCATCGTCCCTGTTCCTGTCCCCGTCCCTATCCCCATCCCCATCCTGCCCTGTCCACCTCTTCTGTCCCCATCCTGTCCTGTCCTGTCCTGTCCTGTCCTGTCCTGTCCCCCTCTCATCTGTCCCCCCCCTGCCTGTCCCTGTCCCTGTCCCCATTCTTCCCTGTCCCCATCCCCATCCTGTCTTGTCCCCATCCTGCCTTGTCCCCACCCTGCCTGTCCCCCTCTTCTCTGTCCCTTTCCCATCCTGTCCCCCTCTTGTCTGTCCCCATCCTGCCTGTCCCTGTCCCCATCCTGCCCTGTCCCCCTCTCATCTGTCCCCATCCTGCCTTGTCCCCATCCCGTCCTGTCCCAACTTCATCCTGACTGTCCCCATCCCATCCTGTCCCCATCTTGCCTGTCCTGCTCTTGTTTCTTCCTGTCCTGCCCTGGCCTCATCCTGCTTGTCCCTGTCCCATCCTGTCCCCAATCCTCCCTGTCTCGAATTCCATGCTGTCCCCCTCTTGTCCTGTCCCTACTCTGTCCTGTGATCATCCCATCCTGTCCCCATCTCTCCCTGTCCCCATCCTCTCCTGTCGCAGTGGGATGAAGGCAGTGGGTTGGGGACGTCCTACTGGGTTCCCACCAACAGTGTAGACCCTTTCTCACCCTGGGAAAAGTCCTATTTGGAGAAAACCTCGTCAGAGCAGGTGCTCAGGTGCCCATGTCCCATGACTCAGCCATGTCCCACGTCCCCATCACTCAGCCATGTCCCATGTTCCTGTCACTCAGTTGTGTCCCATGTCCCCGTCGCTCCACCATGTTGCACATTGTCATCACAGAGCCATGTCCCACGTCCCCATCACTCAGCCAACCCCACGTTCCCATCGCTCAGATGTGTCCCAGGTCCCTGTCATTCCATGTTGCATGTCCCCACCACTCAGCTATGTCCCATGTCCCCATCACTCCATGGCCAATGTCCCCATCACTCAGCTGTGTCCTATGTCCCTATCCATGTCTCATGTCCCCATCATTCAGCCATGTCTCACATTCCCATCACTCCATGTCCTGTGTCCCCGTCATTCCATGTCCCCATCACCCAGCCGTGTCCCACATTCCCATCACTCCATGTCCCATGTCCCCATCACTCAGCTGTGTCTTAAGTCCCCATCCATGTCCCATACTCCCATCACTCCAGGTCCCATGTCCCCATCATTCCATGTCCCCATCATGCAGCTGTGTCCCACATTCCCATGACTCCATGTCCCCATCACTCAGCCGTGTCCCACATTCCCATGGTCCATGTCTCATGTCCCCATCACTCAGCTGTGTCTTAAGTCCCCACCCATGTCCCATATTTTCATCACTCCATGTCCCATGTCCCCATCACTCCATGTCCCATGTCCCCATCATTCCATGTTCCCATCACCCAGCCATGTCCCACATTCCCATCACTCCATGTCCCATGTCCCCATCACTCCATGTCCTGTGTCCCCGTCATTCCATGTCCCCATCACTCAGCTGTGTCCCACATTCACATGACTCCATGTCCCCATCGTTCCATGTCCCCATCACTCAGCCGTGTCCCACATTCCCATCACTCCATGTCTCATGTCCCCATCACTCAGCTGTGTCTTAAGTCCCCTTCCATGTCCCATACTCCCATCACTCCAGGTCCCATGTCCCCATCATTCCATGTCCCCATCACTCAGCTGTGTCCCACATTCCCATCACTCCATGTCCCCATCATTCTATGTCCCCATCGCTCCATGTCCCATGTCCCCATCATTCCATGTCCCCATCACTCAGACTTGTCCCACATCCCCACATCATCTCTCCCCGCATTCTCCATCCCTCTGCCACTCACCCCAAGAACCTGGACAAACAACTCCCCACCCCTAAACTCCAGCGTTTTCCTCATCCCCCCCACCTCCTGCCCACCTTCCCCCAGGTCCCTCCCTGTCCCCTGTGTCCCCTCCGGCAGCCACCGCATCAGGAAGAGCCGTCGCCCGTCGCTAAACCCCATCCAGGAGCACCCTCCGTGGCCAAACCCCACCTCCCGGGGGCCCAATCCCATAAATACAACCCCAGGGGGACACGGGTGTCCCCACACCATGCCTGTCCTGCGCCTGGCCCTGCGCCTGGCCCTGCTCCTGGTCCTGCTCCTGGCCATCGTCCCTCACCACCCCACTGCTGGTGTCCCCCAGGAACCCCCCCTTGATGCTGTCCCCACCAGCGCCCGGCCTTGTGCCCAGAACACCGGCCGCTGCCGCCGCGTCTGCTTCACCCACGAGACCCAGAGGGGACATTTTGGTTGTCCCCGGCGCTACCGGTAAGAGAGGGATGCTGGGACCACCATCACCCCCCCCACCCCTCTTCCCAAAAACCAGTCAGGGGGGGGGGGGGGATGTCTCCATCTCTTCCAGGTGCTGCGTGCCCAAGATGTAGCGGTGGGATGGACCGGGAGGTGAGGATGCTCGGGGGCATCCCGCATCCTTCCCCGGGGGGGCCACCTCCCTGGGGATTTGCCCAAAATCGGCTGGATTTGCCCCGTTTTGGGAGGATTTTCTTCAGTGGGAGCAGCAGGGGGGGGACGTGAGGGCAGCATCACCATCGGGATGTCACCACCCGTCCCCTGTGGAGAAGAATAAACCACCCCCCCCCCGGAGATTTGAGTGCTTTTTCCCATGGGAATACGGGGTGAAACAGCCCAAACGGGGAAAAGTGAAGAAAAGAGGATAAAAAATGCTAAAAAGGGGGAATTGTCTCTCTCTGCCTCAAAAATATGGTAAAAAAAAATGGGAATTGGGATTTGCCCCGTTTTGGGAGGATTTTCTTCAGTGGGAGCAGCAGGGGGGGGACGTGAGGGCAGCATCACCATCGGGATGTCACCACCCGTCCCCTGTGGAGAAGAATAAACCACCCCCCCCCCGGAGATTTGAGTGCTTTTTCCCATGGGAATACGGGGTGAAACAGCCCAAACGGGGAAAAGTGAAGAAAAGAGGATAAAAAATGCTAAAAAGGGGGAATTGTCTCTCTCTGCCTCAAAAATATGGTAAAAAAAAATGGGAATTGTCTCTCTCTCACAAAAATAGGGTAAAAAAGGGGGGGAAAAGTGGAGAAAACGGGATAAAAAATGGTAAAAAAGGGGAATTGTCTCTCTCTGCCTCAAAAATATGGTAAAAAAAAATGGGAATTGTCTCTCTCTCACAAATATAGAGTAAAAAAGGGGGAATTCTCTCTCTCTGCCACTGGAACAAAATGGTAAAAAAGGGGAATTGTCTCTCTCTGCCTCAAAAATATGGTAAAAAATGGGAATTTTCTCTCTCTCACAAATATAGAGTAAAAAAGGGGAATTCTCTCTTTCTGCCACTCAAAAAAAATGGTAAAAAAGGGGAATTTTCTCTCTCTCACAAAAATAGGGTAGAAAAGGGGAGTTCTCTCTTTCTGCCACTGGGAAAAAATGGTAAAAAAAGGGGAATTGTCTCTCTCTGCCTCAAAAATATGGTAAAGAAATGGGAATTCTCTCTCTCTGCCACTGGAAAAAAATGGTAAAAAAGGGGAACTGTCTCTCTCTGCCTCAAAAATATGGTAAAAATTGGGAATTTTCTCTCTCTCGCAAAAATAGGGTAAAAAAGGGGGAATTCTCTCTCTCTGCCACTGGAAAAAAATGGTAAAAAAGGGGGAATTGTCTCTCTCTGCCTCAAAAATATGGTAAAAAAAATGGGTATTTTCTCTCTCTCACAAAAATAGGGTAAAAAAGGGGGAATTCTCTCTCTCTGCCACTGAAAAAAATGGTAAAAAAGGGGAATTTTCTCTCACAAAAATAGGGTAAAAAATGGAAATTGTCTCTCTCTGCCTCAAAAGTATGGTAAAAAAATGGGAATTTTCTCTCACAAAAATAGGGTAAAAAAGGGGGAATTCTCTCTCTCTGCCACTGAAAAAAATGGTAAAAAAGGGGAATTGTCTCTCTCTGCCTCAAAAATATGGTAAAAAAAATGGGAATTTTCTCTCTCTCGCAAAAATAGGGTAAAAAAGGGGGCATTCTCTCTCTCTGCCATTGAAAAAAAATGGTAAAAAAGGGGAATTGTCTTTCTCTGCCTCAAAAATATGGTAAAAAATGGGAATTTTCTCTCTCACACAAACATAGGGTAAAAAAGGGGAATTTTCTCTCCGCCACATGGAGGGGGATGCAGGAATTGCCGATATTTTTAACTAAACCCCCATTTCTGGGGATTTTTTTTCCCAAGGGACCAGCTGCTCTCGGTAGCCCCTCCTGGTGGAAAAAAGAACAACAAAAACCCCACCGATTTTTGGTGAAACAGCAGCATTTCGGGTACTGGCACACCCCCCCCCCCCCCCCACCCCCCCCCACACAGCCCATGGCCAACAGGTCTTCCACCAGCAGGTCTTCCACCCCTAAGTTTGCCAAGAACATCTGTCTGATGGGTGATTAAAAAGCCAAGTGTTAATTGTATAATATGGTAAAAAATGGGAATTTTCTCTCTCACACAAACATAGGGTAAAAAAGGGGAATTTTCTCTCCGCCACATGGAGGGGGATGCAGGAATTGCCGATATTTTTAACTAAACCCCCATTTCTGGGGATTTTTTTTCCCAAGGGACCAGCTGCTCTCGGTAGCCCCTCCTGGTGGAAAAAAGAACAACAAAAACCCCACCGATTTTTGGTGAAACAGCAGCATTTCGGGTACTGGCACACCCCCCCCCCCCCCCCACCCCCCCCCACACGCCCCATACACACACACACACACACACACATATACACACACACATACATACGTACATACATACATACATACACACACTCCCGGCGCGCGCTCATTGGCC